GGGTCAATTTATGTAAAACATCCAGTATATGGATTTTCAAAGAAAGCGTCTGGTTAGTAACTATATAAATTTTCATCAAGAGATTTCAATAAATAATGTAGGAAAGTGGGTAGTGAAATGAGAAAAAAATCCTAGTCCGCCTGTTTCATTTTTATGAAACACTCAGTATATAAATTTGCGAAATGCTTCTGAGTTCTACAATATAAGATTTTTCATAATAATGTTGCCATCAATAAATATCTGAAATATACAGAAGCCTCTAGACCGATAATTCTGACCTGAGTCAATTTATGTAGAACATCCAGTTTATGCATTTTCAAAGAAAGCGTCTGGTGAGTAACTATATAAATTTTCATCGAGGTATTTCAATAAATAATGTAGGAAAGTGGGTAGTGAAATGAGAAAAAAATCCTAGTCCTAGTGTCAGCTTTATGGAACATCCAGTACAAAACATCTGCTTTCACGAACGTCTTTATGTGAAGCTTGTTTTCTGATAGAATGGTATAAAACAGAGAAAGAACAACATTCCACGACCTGGAAGTCTTTAGCTCCAACTTATTTCGATAATTCGCAACTTTTGAGGTTTGTGGAATAATACGAATGTAATATAGTAATTAACGAAGCAAATGTACTAATACAAAGGTGAAGGGATTTACGTACTGGTGTTTTCTTTAAAATTAGAAAGAAATATACAATTTTTAGTGGGTACTTACAGCAAATCGAGAGACATACAACAGGTACCTATACCACGTATGTAGTGGTTGAGCTAAGAAAAAATGTAAATAAAAACGTAATGATAAATAAATACCTGTATATATCGTAGGGTACTTATTAATTAAAGTTTAAAAGAGGCCTAGAAAGATGAAATAACAACAATCCCCAACCCTAGAACGTCTTTAGCTTTTGGTGTCAAATTTATTTTGACGTTTCAATCTGATCTGACATCAATCGCAATTGTCTTGTCATGTTTCCGTGGATGGGCGTTGCCATCTGCCGACACGTCGCATCTCTGTTCCGCGCGAAAAATCGCCAGCAGCCGTCCCCGAAAAGGAAAATTTCACATCGAATACGATAAGAAATCGCTTTCAAAATATGACGTCTGGATAAAGGAAGAAACGAAGCGCGCTTAGTGCCCTTCGTCCGGCCGCTTCGCGTCTCGCGAAAATACCCATAAGTCCGGCAAATCGTCGTTTTTCGCCTTTGAGTGTGGGAGCGAGAGGAGATTGCAGATTTTAAAGTAAAGTAAAAAGCGGCCGCATTTCGATTTAATTTCATTAAACATTGTAAATAAAAAGTTTGAAAAAGGCAAATGGCAAATAAAACATATTCCTACATAATATTTAAATAAATAAGTAGAAAATAGCGAGCATAAAAAATAAAAAAGCTCCAACCGCTCACGATTCGAACCGGGGTCCCGCGGATGGACGGCAGGTGTCAAGTCCCTCGAGCTATCCCAGACACTTGGTGGGTTGTCCTTATATAAGCTATATAACGGTCCGCATCGGCTCGAACTCGACGAAAATTTTGAAACGTTCAAATTCAGTTTTTTCGCCGTGATATCGATCGCGAGTGACGGAACTCGGACTCGGACGTGAAAATAACGATCCTATGTCCCGAAAAACGTCTAGGAGAGCGAAATTCCGTAGGGCAATTTTCGGTATCGGACGGTGGGCGTTTCCGACATGTCGCGTCTCTGTTTCGCCTAGCCAAGGTACCCCGTGAAAACGAAATTTTACCCGCGAAAAAGCGGAAAAACCGCCGCGAAAACACCGCCGTGCGACGACGCGACGCTTCGCACCTCCCGCGAAGATCCTTAGGTCCGATAAATGGGCCCTTTTCGCGGCCCAGTGTGGGAGCGAGAGGAGATTGCAGATTTTAAAGATATAGAATTATTTTTTATGAAATCTTTGCTAGGCTTATAACGAATTGATTCAAATTTGGTGTGATTACATATGTGCATAATTTACTGCAAAATTTACAAATTTTTGTAGGTCAGTGGCGTGGGAAAGGGCAGTAAAGTGGGATTCTTTTTCACCCCAACTTCTACGCCAATGACCTAATAATCATTTTGAATTCATTTTTAGATTCCGTGGACCATTCTACATAAAAAAGGTATACTTGTTGAAAATCGGTATTGTGTATCGTTTTACTGAAAATCTCAGTTGAATGGTAGACTGTTCTTCTGATAAGAAATTTAGTTTCGTAATAATAGGAAATAAATTTTAAAATAATATTATTGTATTGTCACGTATTACCTTAGAATTCAAAACAATATTAAATAATGTCTACATCGGTAAAACGACTAAAATTTTAAATATAATCCCTTGTGTATTATTTATTACATTTGTAATGTGATGAACAATGTTCAATGGCACCTTCTCTAAAATTTAATTTATGTCATTCTGAAGCAATTATAGGTATCCTTGCTCATTCAACGGTCCGTCTCTTTCAAGCAGATATAGTTCGTTTAAAAAATTACACCTACATATTAATTTTAAATCAGCACTGTGCGTCCATTACAGTATCCATACACAATGATTGCCATGAATAAACAACTAAACAGTAATAGACTGAAGTTCAATATTGATAAATGTGTTTTCCATTGTAACTTATTTTAGAAATCAGAAACGGTCCAATTTTCTCACAATCCTTTTATTTTTAAAAGACTACCGGTTTCGAGGTCAAACTTTACAC